GATGTCTTTGCAAAGATCTTTATATATATATATATATATATATATATATATATATATATATATCTTGATTGCTTTAGTTAAAAGTAACTTCTAGGACTCCTTGATAAAACATAATAAAGCTTCTAATAAGTTATTAGGATGGCTGTTTGCTAATCTGCCAGAATATTCCTTTTAAAAATGGGCTCCTCTTCTCAAACAACACTGCAGAAAAATCATGTTTTCCTGTGCAATTGTTCCCTTGCATTATTTTCCTATAGCAGAATGCTCCTGTTGAATAATCAAGTTCTGAAGATTTTTTTACTCATAGCTCATATGAGGACTCAGAAAGAAATGTAATCATACTTAAAAAATAAAGTATATTCTCAAATCTAGAAATTAGCTAGTAATTGAAATGATCATCACAGTGTTTTAACTGATGACCATTGAACTCTTTTCTGGCAAACGGCTCATAGAGCATTAATTGCACGTCACATTGCAGATCTGCAGAGTTAAGTTCTGTCTTGCCCTTGGGACTGTGAGGTCTAAAGCAACTTTGTAAGTGTCTTTCAGGACAAAAAAGAAAAATCATTGAACTACAGGAGTTGTATTTGTTCTGAAAAATTTGAATTTCACTGTCTTTCAGATGCCATTCCCCGCCCCCTCAAAGCCTTATCATTGCACATCTACCACCAAGAGCTCTCCTTGCTTCTACGTCTCTTGATAGCCCCAAATATCTCCCTGAGAACGTTTCAGAAAATTGTTCCAACATAATGCAAATCCAAAAGGTTTAGAAAGAGAGGTTGGGACCAGCAGTTAGCATAATGGCTATGTTGCTGGACTCCCATATAGTCGACCGCAGTTCGCATCCTGCACTCGATGTCTTAAAACTCACCCCGGGCGCGTGTGCGTGCGTCCCCTAGATCCCGAGAGGAGAATGGAGTATAAGGGATTGGGGCATGGCCAAACCCCCTGGGGGGTGATTTCTCGCTTTCTGTCTCTCTGTCTCTCTCTGTCTGTCTGGCGTGTTTATTTCATCTAAGAGTTATTTGGTGAACCTGTTTGTTCGGGGGGCACCAAAGCTTTTTAGAAAAAAAAAAAAAAAAAAAAAAAAAGGAGAGAGGTTGATTCTGATTTTATTTTTTGACTTTTTAATAATTATTTAAATATCTTGGGACCAGCAGGTGGTGTGGTGGTTAAGGTGATGGACACTCCCACATGTCCACCCACGGTTAGAGTCCCAGACCTGGTGGCTTGCTTTCTCACTCCCCCCACACGCCCCCAGTCTCTCTCTCTGTGTCTCTCTCTGGTCAAATTTAAAAAGAAATGAATGAATAAATGAAATTAAATAAGTAATTCTTAAAATAATAATAATTATTATTTAAATATCTTAATGGATTATTTTTAAATGGCCCATAATAGTAACTGTACTAACATGAGAGTAGGATTCTAATTTAGGAACAAAAAAGAAAATATCTATCTCTCTGGTATCAATGAGCAAGTGATATTACTAAACATAACATCTGCATTGGGAAGTTTGCAAGAAGTAAAAGTTGATTAAAGTTAATGGAAGATAGCTTTGAAAATACTACTATGTGCTGAATTTTCTACAAACATTTGGAGAAATATAAATCTTACTTTTTCAAATTTCATTAACTCACAAATGGGCTTGTTTTTTAATCTGTAGCTTACATAAGACTAGGATTGACATCAGATTAATCATGTGATTGGCTTTTGCTATAAAAATGTTATTTCCAAAGCCAATACTAAAAACACAATATGAAAGAAATATCTACCAATTTAAGCAAATGTAGAGCACCTTAGAAATGTTCTTAGATATTCAGAGTGTACTTGTAACGCTAATCTAAGATTAACTTGATGTAGACCAACAGGTGGCATGGAAATTAAAGCAGCTGGATCCTACATGGTCAATTCCTGGGTCTGTGTCACAGACCTGTTGGCTTGAAAATCACACCTGGCACTTGGCATTTGTGCATGCACGCCCAAAATCCAGAGAGGAGAATGGAGGAGAAGGAATTGCTGCATGATCATTTCTTTTGGGGTGGGAGGGGGTGATTTCTCACTCTCTCACAACTCACCCCTCCTTAACCGGGACTCTCTCCTATGAGTGCACATGCCCTATAGCAAAAAAAAAAAAAAAAAAAGAAGAAAGCAAAAAGAAAAGAAATCTAAAAACAAAAGATTAATTGAATGCAAACTGGCATTTTTATTCTATACATTGCATTTCAATTATAATTACATATTTATTAAAACAGGGCTTAGTCTTATTAAATTTATCATACAAACTTACGATTTAGATTCATGGTTTTTCCACTCATCCATCTATATATTTAAAAGTCAAGACCAGCAGTTGGTGTAATGGCTATGTCACTGGACTCCCATATATTCAACCATGGTTCAAGTCCCGGACCTAGTGGCTTAAATTCATGCTGGGCACATGTGCGTGTGTGCCCAAGATCCCAAGAGAAGAATGGAGGAGAAGGGATTATGGTGTGGCCATCCT